CTCAAGCCAAGATAGATGACTATAAAAATGATAAAAAATTAAAAGAAAATGTTTAAATTCATAAGCTCATGTTATTTAAAATAAATATATAACACATTAATTAATCCTATACTACAATAATTTAAATACTAATTTGCATTAAAAAAAATTTCAGTATCATTTACTTGCTTTCATTTATTAGACATTGAATTGTGTTACTTCATATCCTCCATAGCTTGCCTAACTTTTCAGATAACCTGATAAATATTTGACAGTTCTTAAAATTAAAAATTTTGAAAATCCAATATTTTTGCTCCTGTATATAAATACTTATTACAAAATAAAATCCTTGTATTTTCCTTGATAAAGCCCCTCAGAGGACAAATTATGTTGGCTAAGTTTTACTTTTGTATTTACTCATATTGTGTGCATATGTATACATATATGTGTGTGTGTGTGTGAGAGATTGTGTGCATGTATTTATGTGTATAAATGTAATTGTGTGCATGTATATATGTGTATAAATGTGTGTGCATGTAATTGTGTGTGTGTGTGTGTGTATATATATATATATATATATATATATATAATCTGTGTAATATATATGTATGTTAGTATGTAATTGTGTGCGTGTATATGTGTATGCAATTTTGAGCATGTGTATGTGATTGTGCATAAGTAATTTGTGTGTATACAAGTATTTAATTTTGTGCATCTAAATGTGTGTGTGTGTGTAGTTGTGTGCATATATATATATATGTAAATTGTTGCGTAAATATATATATTTATATATAAATAATGTATGTATATAAATTGTTGTGTGAATATATATATATATATATATATATATATGAAAATAATGTCTGTGTGTTTGTGTATATATGGGCACATGGCCGAATGCTGAGAACATTCGCATTCTGACCATGACACTCTGGTTCGAATATCATCATGGTTGATTTTCAGGACCGGAGGAATTGATCCCTATATATATATATATATATATATATATATATATACACACACATATTATACAGGTATTACATTTTTTCTTTCAAATATATATATTGCATCTAAAATATGCAGTGTTTTTTTATTTCATATTTAAAATAAATGGGGATTAATATTTTATTTTATATTTATATATTGTTATTTATTAACAAATATATTAAAACAGACACTCTATCTATCTATCTATCTATCTATCTATCTATATATATATATATATATATATATAAATTTTTATTTCAAGTTGGGATTATTATTTTATATTAAACATAAAGGCAAGGATTACTGATTTTTTTTTTTTTTTTATATAAATAAAGGGACCTACAAACCATATAAAATATTTTGTATTTAAGATAGGTGGGACCTAAAAAGAATTGTACGTAAGGTAAGTGAACAGAAGAAAATAAATAATAAAAAGTAAAAAAGAAATAGGTTATAATTTAAAGTAAAAATGAATCTGGATCAACAGATTTATTTTTATGCCTACATTTTACCATCATCTTGTTTGTTTCTCTTGTTTAATAAGTTTGGGTTATTTAAGTGTTTTAAGATCATTAATTTTTTTACAAAGTACATCTATCGCTTTTCCCCTTGTAAGATTTGGCTCTTGTTACAATATCCCAAGTAATAATAGGTATATTATCACCATTCTTTAATTGCCAGAAATATGTGTATTAGGCTCATATTGAAGGTCAATATTTTGTCTATTTTTACCTTCTTTAACATTTACATGAAAAAAGGTGCCAAAATATCTGGTATGATTGCTTTACAAAGAAACAATGTTTTACTTGGATTTTACAAGTATTTTAGGGAATATTTTTGTACTCACAGTCTTATTTATGTTTTATTTCTACCAGCATATCAGTGACTAGTTCCCTATTTAATTTTCATTTATCAGATCAACTTGATATTGGTGTTGGGTTTGGTGCTGATTTCTGGTGTCCATGAGATTGAAATTTTGCATCGGTCAACTGTTAGACTAAATGAATGCCTTAAAGATGGAGGATGAAAAGTTGCACTTTTGCGATATTATGCTCTATGAATTTCAGAAAGGAGAAAGCATTGGAACTGCAACAAAAAAATATTCAGGTTTATTTGGATCATGCTTCAGCTCTTCAGTTGGTCAAAAAGTGGTTTGACAGATTTTATCGGGGTGATTTTAACCTAGATGTTCACCATACTCAGATTAACCTTCCAACAAAGCTGAAGGCTCTGTTTGTCATCGTGGAGAATAAACTGAAGATTTTGAAAAGATTGCTAAGAGTTTGAAAATCAATATCTCATTTGGGTTCAAGAAAAATGGCTGATTTTGGCAAATTGAAAAGGTGTCATTTTCCAATATGACAAAAACAGACCTTGCAGAAGATTAAAAGAGGGAACCCTCCAGCATTCACTGTATTCCCCCACTTGGCTTCTTCAGATTTTAATTTGTGCTGCTTTCTACAGAACAAATGAAATGACAAAAAAATTGACTCTGTCCAGTGAAAAGCTATCTCGAAACCAAAATGACATCAACAAGCTTGTTGAACGATGGGAGACCATTGTCAAAAACAATGGAGACTATATACTTGACAATGTTTTTTGTGAGTATGTAAAATGTTGTTTTTAATTTTCTAATCAGGCACAAAATTTTGCAACAATCTATGTTCTACTCAATTTGTATTTATACAGACACTACCTTACCATTGATTAGTTCCAGAAACTGAACATACATGTTTAATACTAATTACACAATATTTGCCCATCCTGGGTATGATGATATATTACAGCAAGTCCTCGAATCAGAAGGTTCTGACGAGTGTGGAACCACCTCTTAATTGCTGATGTTCTCAGGTCCACCTGTTAGAGTCCCAGTTATGGGCAAATAGTTAACATCCATGAAAAGGGTCAAAACACTATGAAAGTGTAAAAATAAGTTTTAATACCAGAAATACTTTGTAAAAAAAATATTACCAGCTTGACATTTTTGAAGAAAAAATATTACCAGAAATAGATTTTTCAAGGAAAAAAAATATTACCAGCAACACATTTTTGAAAAAAAGTATTCCCAGCAATAAAAATTTTGTCGGCATTAAATAACCAATTGAGGTTGATATGCTATAAAACAAACCGAACCAAACCACAATATTCTCCATTTCCATTCTCTATGGGAGTTTCAAAACCATGTCATCTAAACATAATGTGTTGATTAGCTGTATTGGTTTATACACAGAGTTTAGACTTTTGCTCATTTCTCAGGTATAAGCAGAGAGGGTTGCTTATATTTGGATTCATGTATATCAGTTTTTTCCATATTTTTAACACGTGATTTGTAATCACAATTTAATCGTCAATAATCATATATATTTCATTTTGGGGTCATCAAGAGACTAGTATATCAAACAAGAGATCTTTTATATTTTAACTTTATTTTCATTTGTAATCATGATTTAATCATTCATGATCATGTATATTTCATTTTAGGGTTATCAGAGGACAAATATATCAAACAGAACTTCCCAGACTGGTGTGTTGTGATATTTTAAGGTAATTAATTACTCATGTTTTTTTTTTCTTTAATTATCTGCTCAACTTTTCATTCAATTATCTCTTTTCATGTACATTTTGAGTTATATATTTAGCTTGGCTAATAAAACTTAAGTAATATGTACCAAAGAATCATTTTGAAAAAGTTTGTTGCCAATTCATAATGTTCAGAAAGTTCTGATTTAGGTTTTAGCTGGGTTACCAGTACTAGACTATGAAGCTAAAAGGTGCAGGTTACTTTTTGGGGGCGTATATATTTCTTTTGGGAGAAATGAGCATCCTTTTTATAATGGAGTGAAATACAATATTTTGGAGAAAAAAACAAAAAACAAACCCAAATGACACAATTGAGGAAGATCAGCTTGCTTAACCATTGGGACAATGTAATCATTATAAATGTTGTATGGTATTTACTTAACTCCCACGGGGTCAAGATGTGACACAAGGTCGTTTAACGTGGGAGACCCGAGTGTTTCCACTCAAGAGCCACTGGTCCAAAACTGGTCATAGCTTGTCCAAGCTGGTCAGAGCCTAGTCAAAGCTGGTCATGACTTGTCCTAGCAAGTCCAGGCCGGAGCCAGTCCAAGCTAGTCGAAGCCTTGATCGAATCTCAGCCATAGGCCAAGAAACGATCCAATATTTGTCAAAAACCCCCAACGAAAATTCGTCAGGTGAATTATAAATGTTGTATTAGCACAATGTCTCATTTCTAAAGAAGTAATCAATTTTTTATTTATCAATCCAACAGATTTTATTACTTAAACATTTTTAGTGTATATCCATATTTGGATAGATGCTACATTTTGTTTTATTTTTGTTTACTGGCCTGTATATTCAGATCTTTAATAATATTTCCCGAATATTCAGGCCCATAGACAAAAATAAATATACTGTTTAATAAATAGATGGAGCATTTACTCAAATATGGGTATCTACTAAAAGTAACATTTAAATAATAAAATATGCTTTATTTATGTTAGGATATGAAACTGAGCAGATGTGGACGTTTCAAGTGTCTGAGAGTTCTGTGTTTATAAGGCACTACTCAACTTTACTTGATCAGCGACGCATTCCATGACTGAGTTGGATCTAACAACAGTTTCTTCTGCCAAGGGGGATGCAGGTTCAAATCCTGCTGGAGAATGCATATTTTTCTTTAATATGATTTCTCAAATATTTCAGTAGACGAAAATAAATACATATACTATTTAATAAGTAAATAGAGTGTCTGCCCAAATATGGGTATCCACTAAAAATAACATTTACATGGTAAAAACAGTCGCATACATGAACTCGATTAAATGCCCTCTCTATCTGTCTCATCTTTCCGAGTAGTTAACTACCCCTTTTGGAAGGCCACTTCAGTTACTTCCAGTTCACATAATGGCCATCTCCTGTAAACAAACATGTCTACTCAAACATGAGCATTTGCATTTAATCTTGTGCCATCTGTGGCTTAACATATCATAGCAATAATGACAATGACTCACCAATTTGGATAGGAAAGTTGTACACTGTACTTCTTGAGATGCACTGCATTCATTCCTGGCACTTCATATTTCCAAATAGATTGCACATACAGAATTAGTTTGTTTGTTCCTCCTACCCCAGACAGATAAATTTTGCTGGTGATATCTCTGAAAATAAAGAAAAACAAAATGAGTTTATTGACAAATTTGCACACATCCATAATGGTGTACATACACACAGCATATCCTAAGATCTATATTTCCTTTGTTAAAAGTATCTAAACATTCATTATAACTGATATGGTAATAGAAGCCATTTCCTTATAGGGAAATATTTGAGATTCATTAGCGGAGCAGCTAATACTACTATCAGCTGCTAAACTACTAAAATCTTTCTTTTAAAACAATTTTTCAGAAAAATAGGTTTCTCAAGTTTAGTAGCTTTTATCACTCTTTCTAGTATTGATGAGGATTTCCTTCCTACCTTTTATTTGATTATGTCAGTATTTTTTTCTTCTTTGAGTTACATGCTATATTTATTTATCTATTGCTGCTGTTGGTAGAGCTAAAGTAATATGGTTTCTGTTATCTGGTACAATTCTTTGTGATTCTGTAATGTCAGTCTATGAGGTTTGATGAAGTATGTTTCTCCCTGAGGCCTACATGCTTCACTTGCTCAAAGCCATTTTTAATGTTAGTTTCTATAACATCCTATTCCCTTATGTGTAAATACTCTTAGGGAAAGGTATGAATTTATCTCTTCTCCATCTATGGGTTAAATAGAAGGATATGTGCCTGGCACAATCATTGTTATTCTCAAAAAGATGTTAATACAATATTCACTTGCAAAAAAAGAACTATTCTTCAAATCTCAAATAAATTTTGGCTTTAAATAGCCTACAAAGTGTTGATAAGCCATAAAAAACAATGAATCCCTACCATGCTAAGGCTTACAGCCATATCAGGTTGAAATACTGGTTCCTATATGATCACCAAAGTTAAACAAACTTGAGCCTGGTTAGTACTTAGATGGATGTTTGTTATTGCAAGCTTGGATGTGTGGGTGGTGTAATAAATAATGGCTTAGAATTGTTAATCAGAGAGCAGAGTTTCAATTCCTGTTTAGTTCATTATATTTTCTTACACACAAATACCCTTGGGAAAGATATGTATCCACTTTTTTCTCCTTCCAGCTATAGGTTAATTAGTAAGACTTGTATCACTAAACATTATTATCTTAAAAAAATTGTCACAGGCTAAAAAATATTTTCTGGCTTTAAATAACCTGCAAAGTGTTGATAAACCATAGAAAATGCAACACTCAATCAATGAATCATACCATCCTATCCCTTTAAGGGCCACCACATTTTGGTTGATATGAAGCACTGTCAGTGTCTTGAAGCTTTGTGAGGATTTCTGGAATGCATTTTCTTAAAATTCAAAGTTCCTTAATTATTGATTGGTGGTTTATATTCTTGGCCATTTTCATTTACTTTATCCTGGATTCTTAGGAAATTTTTTCATAATTCCAAGCAAGGCAATAATATAAAAGTTTGTTATAAGAATTTTCATTATATTTAGGAAAGAATTAGTTTTGTTAGAAGAAAATATTTGCATATTAGAGAAAATCAAAAGATCATCTATCAAAACATCTGTACTGCCATTTCTGTTTTCATAAGTTGTCTTATATCTTTCCCTCTGATTCAGAATCTCTGCTACAAAATATGATAATTAAATATCAAAATGATTTCAAAAGGACCAATGTTTAACCTGTAGAAAATGCTTAACATTTACCTATAAGCTGACAATTATTAGAAAGTTATAGTGACTGAAAAGTTTTGCATGGCACTACAGTATATCAGCAATCAGAAAGAGGTCACAAAAAAGGTAAAACATGAAAAAAGTACTAACTTTTATGCAGTTAAAATTCACACTGTCTGGAATAAGATCAAGATTATTAGAAATTGTCACATCTGTGAATTCAAATTTATGCCAATTGACCAATTATGGATATGAATATTTTGTGCTGCATATAGAAGACTATATCTTAACACACATGCAAATCCTCATTTCTGTATGAATTTCTGGGATGAGGAGTTATCATTATTTATTAACATTCATACTATTGTCCTCATTTTTGTTGTTATTATCACCTGACTATCTTCTCTTTGAATTTCTGGAATGAGAAGTTATCACTATTTCCATCATCTTGTAGAAGAAGAAGAAATTTAATTGTGTATATTTAAGTAGAATCATATAAGCAGCTCAATAAGACCCTGTCAAATTAGAGGGACAGAGAAAAATATGAGTAATCTACTTAATGTGCTATAATTTCTGTTTGAATTTCTGGGGTGATGAGTTATCATTATCTACACTATTTACACACAGATTATTGTCCTAATCTTTGTTGTTGCTATCACAATGTTTTGACTGTTGTATCAGCTGGCCTTCATCAGGTCTAAATTGATTCAGGTAACTGACAGGGAATTCCAAACAACCTTTTATTTAATCTACAGTGATAGACTGTTCTCATTCTACTGCCCTCGTTTAAGAATATTGTCCAGTTCTTATTATTAGTATTGATTAGTTATTGTTTGCCCTCTTTCCACTGAGTCCAAGTTAACATTTCTATTAGGTTACCTGGATCAGTATACACCTGATGAAGGACACAATGACCAAAATGTTAAGTCTGATTTATTATTAATAGTTATAATTAAAGTATTGCCATTGGTATGCTAAAATAATTGGAGCTTTCTCTACGATAATCTACTTATAAATTCGAAATATATTCAGGATAAGAATATAAAAAAAAAAGATTATCTTCAACTTTCTAGAGTTGAGACCTAAATCAAAGTAAAAACATGTGATTAGAATAAGCACTGTGAGAAGTGGGACTCCCATAGTCTACCTATCAACTACCTATCTGTTTATATGACAAACAACAGAATGTATTTTCTTTTTCTCTTCATCCTTTGTACTGCTTTTGCTAAAGCAAAGAAGGAAGGGAGAGAGAGAGAGAGAATGTGCTATTGAGGAAAAATTGAGAGTAAGTAGAAACTAAGTGGGTGAAAAGAAAGGGTAACAGGATGGTTGGGGTGAAAGAAAGTAATAGATAAATAGGTTTATTATAATGACTTTTATTACTACTTTCTCTCTTTTGAAATTTTTAAAGTGGGCAAAGATCTTTTTTAGCATGATATACACCTTATAGGACGATACTACGTCATTAATATATAGATGATGATGGTAACAATAAGCTGAGTTGATGCCCTCAAGAAGTAAGAAAATTGTAAAAAGCAACAATCATAGCTATTGAAAGGTTCAGAATAGTCCTGAAGTTTCTTCTAAAAAGCTTAGAATCATTAGAAATTGAGGAAAAATATGTAAGGATTCAGATTTGAATTATGTTGAAATCAACAAGGATGATGAGAAGAAAGTTGGAACTGGAAAATATTCAATGAAAGATTAAAAAGAAAGCCTGTGTCAGTTGAATTCAATAAAATCTGTTTGCATAGCTGTCAATCTGTTCATTTCCAAATGACAACAAAAGTGTGAAAAAAAATAATGTAGAGGCGAAAGAAGGAAAAACATTCATGACAGTGGAAAGTTTATGAGCAAGAAAAAAAGCTGAAAAAAACAAAAAAAAGAAAAAGGAGTGAAAGAAAAGAAAGAATGGAGATGAAAGAAAAACATGCTTATTGTTTTGAGTTTTATTACTCCTTTACACCCTTGTTCTTGAGCTTTCTTAACCCTTTCATCTTTTAAAGTAGATAAAAGTTTTATTAAATTATTTATTTTTTGAGTATGATGTGTACCCTACATAAGAAGGTAGGTAGATACTATGTTATTAATATGGGATGATAAGCTGAGTTAGTTCTCTAAATTTGCTTGAAATTAAGAAAATTGTGAAATGCAACAATCATAGCTATTGAAGTACTCAGAATTGTCTTAAAGTTTCTTGCAAAAAGTTTAGGATCATTGGAAATCAAGGAAAAACATAAAAGCATTCAGATTAGAATAGTGCTTCCTGTTTAGGATAGGGTTTCCATTTCCTTATAAAGTCTACTTTAACTCTATACTCCTAATGTCTCTACCTAAAATTCTGAACTTTTATTTATTATTGAATTACTTTTTCTTTTCTCAACAGTAGATATATATTTGTCTATTGTCTGGTTCACACTCCACCTGTTTTTTTATTATTATTATTATTACGGAAGTAAAGGTTTGTCCATTGTTTCCTGTTTAGGATTGGGTTTTCTGTTCCTTCTAAATCCTTTTTGCTTCCAGTGGGCCCTTGTGTCTTGGTGCCTTGTACATCATTGTGAAAAAGAAAATGTTGAAATCCACAAAAATATTGAAATTTTTGGAATTTTACTTAGATTTGCTAACTCTTTGATCTTTTTTCTAAAACTACCAGATAAGTTTTGTGTGACAATTCATATAATCATCATTGTGGTTATTGCAGGCAATCAGCCAATTATCAAAGTTAATGATTGGCTTTTTCATCATTGTTGCAGTCAAACATGAAATATTTCCTTGATAAGGAAGGGGGAAAAGATTATAAAGTATTGGGATCAGAGAACAGGGATAAAACAGTACCTGTTCTCCTGGGTACTGGACATTGCCAAGATGTGATTAAGCATCTCTTCTGTGCAGATGTTAGGTAAGACATAAGAGAATTGCAAACATCATTTTCTGAGGATTTTTTCATGTCTTGAGGAAATTCCTTGTGTAAAATGACAGCTGTTGCTAATTAACTGCTATGTAAAAAACATAACTAGGCATAAAATAAATATTAGAGAAAGAGCAATAAGGCACATGGTAGCCTGTGGGGTAGAAATATATTTAGAGACAAAAAAAAGTAGTGAATAAATTACACTGCTTTTCACACATTTAAGTACAAAAGCATGCCAGATAATTGAGCAAATCCATGAGAAGTGCTCTGCAAGTAATGACTCCAATTCATTTCCATGTCTGAAGGACAATTGTTACCTATGTAGAATTCCAAACTACAGAAGCTGCAGGGAGCACTCTAACACCATTTCAAACTTACAGCCACATCACATTGAAATAT